AAAGGACAAGTATCAGACTAGTGATTGGTCAGGGTTTTTTAAACTGACACCAATCAAATAGCTAGCCGCGTGTGAGCGTAACCGCTGGATATCGAGGATGATTTTTGACAGGTAGAGATTACATGAATTTTGTCATCATAATCGATTGTAAAACATGTTTCATTTCACATTTCCAGGAACCGTGATAAACGTGAATGATATGTGTAATGATAAGCGCGGACAAACAAACCGGACATTAAGATCGTGTCTTTAGTCTGAGACAGAGACTGCAGCATCCCATGCATTCATGTCTGAAAGTTACTATTCTGATTAACAATGCCAAGGAACATAACAGATTCAACCACATAAATGTACGCGTTACCGATCGCCTGTACTAATCTGGTTAGAACATCCCATAATATATCAATATGGTTATACGCTGCAACCGAACACAGGACGTCACATCCGGTGCCAGATTATTGATCGACAATAAAAGCATTCTGTGTTGTAAAATATGTTTTATTGATGTCCATAGATAGGTGATAGATACATGCATAAATACGAAACGGCAGAGCTGGCACTAATAACGTTACAATATACATCGACGAAAAGCTTGAAACGGCAGAACTGGCGCTAATTACGTTACAATCTACATCGACGAAAAACATGAAACGTCAGAGCTGGCACTTTTTACGCTACAATCTACATCGACTAAAAAAACTTGAAACGTCAGAGCTGGCACTTATTACGCTACAATCTACGTCGTCGACGAAAGGCTTGAAATGGCAAAGCTGGCACTAATAACGCTACAATCTGCGTCGACGAAAAGCTTGAAACGACAGAGCTGGCACTTTAACGCTACTATCTGCGTCGACGAAAATTTGAAACGGCAGACCTTGCACTAAAATGCAATACAATCCGCGTCGAGGAAAAGCTTGAAACGGTAAAGCTGGCACTAATAACGCTACATTCTACGTCGACGAAAAGCTTGAAACGGCAGAGCTGGTACTATTAACACTACAATCTGCGTCGACGGAAAGCTTGAAACGGCAGAGATGGCGCTAATTACGTTACAATCATCTTGCATTATTTGAAATGAAATCATATGACTTTTACAGCATCACCCTCTTAATGAGACCTGTCCTCGCGTCATAATAACTGGAAAATGAAACATTCTAGTAGCGAAAGTTGACGTTTGCTTGTTTCCTTCCATATTGCAAGGCATATGGAATAACATATGTACAACACTATATGTCAATTAATGCATATCAAATTTTGGATATCCTGTTGAGTGAGATGACACACGACGCGACACGCCGCCTTAATATGGCGGAAGTTCCAAGATAGGACATTTTGCATTGACATTAACGATTACATAATCAATTCTATCCTCCTTAATTACTGTATTTTTTGGACAATACTTTACAATGAATTCGATACAAAGATTGAAAAAAATATTGAAAAAACCTTGCAGAATGTAATTAATTTTCATTATTTTGATTGATGACGTCACTAATCTATTTGTAGATCGCCTGTAGTTACGAGATGAGTGATGGGTTAGCGATATGATCAATTGCATAAGAGCTGCGCGTAACCATAGCAACCAGCCATCGGCAATATTTTACAGACAGTCAGATTGACAGCATAATTTGATAGCCCTTACGCGATCAATGTTAATGTCATGCAGACCGATATCAGAGTTATTACCCGTAGTTCATATATAATGTCCCTGGAGGGCGTTGTGGTCTAATGTTAACAGGGGAGATCACTCCAGCTAGACGTTGTAAACATTTGCCTGCACGACCTCACAAATGCCAAGGAAAAATGCAAGCCAGCAGCATAGGACGTTTTAATAAGTTAGCGCTTTCCCATTTCAAAATGTTACAGATTCAACCGTAGATGACTCTATTCAGTTAAAAGAGTATGACTCACAATTGTACGCAAGATTATGAAGTGTATACGAAAAAATGAATGCTACAATTGTTCATCCTTGTTAGTCCAGACAAGCCAGCTCCTTCAAAATCCGTCCGGAAAATCTATTTATTTTTATCTAAATATTTTTATTTTATTTTATTATGTATTTTATTTATTTGTTCAATTAAATAAATGAAATTGTAATCGCTTTAAAATGAAAGTAAATTATGAAAGAAACGTTTACCTTTAACAACTATTTTTTTATCATTATTTTCTCTAACCAGATTGACGGGTTTCTCTGGTCAGAGGACCGAATCTATTTAATGGCCGGCCAAATTGACACGCTACGGAATGATTTGTCCCGTACTTTTCGATTCGTATAACTTAATAAAATATGAAGGTCAATCGAATACGTTCCGTTGACATCATAACGCGCACACGTAAAAACGAATGGATAATCACATTCGGACTTAGTTACAGACAGGACAAGGGACGCAACTCTTTTTATTCGTTGAATGCCGAAGCTCATTTACGGGCGCGTTTGATTACAACATATGGCTTTCAGACAATAACAACTATGATGTCCCCTTTGTGTGCACGACATTTGGACTCTATTATGAAGCCTATTATTATTTTCCCTTTGGGTGAACCTTGACAACGTCTGGGCGCTTATTTCATCAAAAGAGAGATACTGATAGGTAATCGAACGCACCAGTCGAACTATTTACTAGTGTTAGCAGCGCCGCCTGTCTGCCGGAAAATATCGCGTTAGATTGTACCAAGGAGTAAAGCTAGCCAGAAAGTGCTGACAGACATAAATTGTTCCTTGTCTGTGATCAGTAAGCCTAATTCCATATAAGACCGGCAAAACTTTACCACAATATATCTGGCGTTTCTGTCGGTAATTGTTCATTCAAAAGGTCAGGGGTTAATGATACCTCCCACCAGGACTAGGGTGTCTTGGGTGCGTCATAGATATCGTTGGTATCATCTGGCGTCAGCGACCAGCTTACAAAAGCTCAAATAAGTCTATCTCTGTCAGTGCACTGTTGTTGCCTTGTCGCGTGTCCTTCAAATTTGTTCATTCTCTCATTTAAAATAACAAAAACAATTCCACCCTTTCGTAAAGTAGCACCTTATTTTACTTACCACATTCTCAAAAGATTAGTTAGTACATTTCCAAACGCTTTTACCGTATTCCCAATCGTCCCGTCATTAGGTTGGCTACGTAATTCAGCTGTATATCTAATATAAGTGTGCGGCTTTCGTTGAAGAAAGCACATTTACTTTTGTCGATGATTGTTAAACTCACTGACGTACAAAGTCCGAGCGACACGAGATCACGCGATTTATCTTCACGTGACCAATTTTGTTTTGTTTTGTGTTAAACTGCTATTTCAATGTTTTCTTGTTCAGCTTGTTTAGACATATCGGTTAAGAACTCCTTGAGTGTAAAGTCTGACAGTGTTATTTGCCGAAAACACCCAGGGAAAAACGCAGAGTCATTCCGAAAAGACAACGAATATCGATCACTAATAAGAAAAATATCATGCTTTTTATCCGGAATTTGTCATTTTGTAGACCAGTCGCGCCTTGCGTATTAATCTGTAACAAAAAGGAAGTTCTTGAGTTGAAAAATGGATCCCACGTGTATTACCTTGTCGGCCCCTATAAACATAACACATAATATTTATTGATACTATTTTCGCTTCGCGTTGTTTCGAATATCTCATTCATTGTTTATTCCGTCTTTGCGTATTGCAGAGTTATCTTCTCTTGAGAGTAGGTATTGATTTTTACGTCATTTGTTTGTGAGAGTAACGTCATCAATTTTTGAGAAAACGACGTAATTTTCTCACACGAACCAATGACGTAACAATCAAAACCTGCTCTCAAGAGAAGATGACTATAAAATCGGCATCAGATCTGCGCTATCGCAGGCTGGAAGGGAGGGTGGAATACACTGACATACCGCCTCATACGGACCACACGTGCAAGCATATATTACACACATGGAGACACGTCCTTAAATGACCATGGCTGTTAATAGGACAAACGGGATGACCAATTCAGCTAATCGGCGAAAATTAGGAGCCGTAAAAAAATGCTTTTACAGTAATTGTTCTAACAGTTTTGAATAAAAAAGACTTAAATCGATTTCTACGTGTTACGTTCTCTTCAATTTTAAACGCAATATGCCATCGCGTGCATGGCTTTATAAGAATTCACCTGCAATATCGATTTATCATGTAAATATCATTAAACCAAATAACTTGGAGAAGAGAGAGGTAAATATTGCAATTTTAAAGTTAATAGCTTCCTCGTAACTCGATAATCAAACTAACACGGGGATAATTATTGACAGTTTTGTATTTTTCAGATATTTTTTCGGCCTGCTTAAAATTAATCGCGTTATTGAAAGGGTTGTTTGATTTAGACATTGCATCAATGTCATCTCTGACATGTGCTTTAGTCCAAGGGTCGGGCAAGACAGTGGTTGTGAGGAGAGTAATCTTGGTCACAATCCCCTTTCCTACCTACTTCAGTTTTGGAGAACGTAAATTAAATATTATACATACTAAACTGAGGCACAATTTTAGTTCCCTTAAGTATGACCTTTACAGAGTTAATCTTGTCGATAGTCCAGTTTGAATCTGTGGACATCCATGTGAGAATGCCTTTCACTTTTTCTTTGAGTGTCAATTTTTTAGCAATGAAAGGCGTCTTTTGTTTCTAAATTTGAATGCCTTAGGTATAGATTTAAATTAAGAGATTCTTTTGTTTGGCGATCCAGATCTTTTGGTAGACCTTAACTCTTACGTTTTTTGGACATGTGCATCACTTCATCAAAAGATTTTGAACGGTGCTTGATTTGTACCTGTGTGAATATTATATATATATATCTACTTCATGTTTATGCCTAGTATCATTGTTGACATGTAATTGTAAATGTATGACGGGAGAAGGCTGTGATAAGTTGTAATAACTTGTGCCAAATCCCTTGTTCAATTTTATTGGCAATAAATGTGTTTCAAGTAAAGTACCGTCCATGTTTTATATTGGACTAAAGTAACGCGGGGAAAAAACAGAAATAGTACAAAACAGTGATGGACGGTTCAGTAAAACTGGGGTTCCATAAAACTGTGATGGACGGTTCAGTAAAACTGGGGTTCCATAAAACTGTGATGGACGGTTCAGTAAAACTGGGGTTCCATAAAACTGTGATGGACGGTTCAGTAAAACTGGGGTTCCATAAAACTGTGATGGACGGTTCAGTAAAACTGGGGTTCCATAAAACTGTGATGGACGGTTCAGTAAAACTGGGGTTCCATAAAACTGTGATGGACGGTTCAGTAAAACTGGGGTTCCATAAAACTGTGATGGACGGTTCAGTAAAACTGGGGTTCCATAAAACTGTGATAAAATACTACGTCAAAACCTTACTCATATAGCACGTGACTTTTTATATTCATTGGTTCATCACCTTGGTTACAAATCAGTTTCGATTTCTTCAAAGTCCCCTAAGCGGAGGACGAAAGAGAAAATCCACGATTTTGCAGTGAGGGTCCACGTTGGTCGCCTCGTCATATTACATGGAGTGTGAGACAAAAGTTGCCACTTTCTTCCCACGGACGTCCAGGGGGTTAGTGTGACGTACACGTCTCAATTATGTTATAATAATGTAACACAATATAATGTTTACAGATTATTATTTGTTGTTATTGGGCCTTTGCAACCAGCCACTATATTTCTCAACTCTCTGAGGAGTACACAGCCGGTGCTGAGATTTAGGCGTTCACAGCAAGCATTCAACAATACCAGCACTGCCCAACCACGTACTCACTTACAGCTGAGTAGACTGGAACAAGCGGAGTAAAGTATCTTGTTCCAGGATACAACACAGTGCCGTGACGTGACTTGAACCCGCAACCCTTCGGGCACGAGAGCGTAAAAGCACTAGACTACCATGCCTGTTCAATTTCACCGCTATATCACACAGAAGTATCTGTCTGCTTGTTTGTTTGTTCGTTCATTGTTTAGCGTCCTCATAAACATAAATATAATCTGAAAAACGATGTCCACTGACGAGGTGTCCATCGTAATGCCTTGGATATGATAGCGAGCTAGCACACACACAAAAAAGCATGCTTACAATCTTATACCTTGGTTCTGACTTAGCCACTCACGTATGACGTTACTATTCCTGACGTCATTTGTGATTGTTTCAGTCAAAACTTGAGACAATTTTAGTCTTAACATCGTTTTATGATATCGGGGCCCTATGTGTCTTGTGGGACACCACATAACATAATAGCATTAGGTAACAAAGAATTGAAAAAACAAAGGTCCCAATTGTCGCAATTACGACAGTGCATACTTGTGTCAACTGATGTAATGTTAACAGCAGGTCAGTACGTCCATCACAACATCAAACATGTATGAAGCACGTATCATAAAATCGCTCTTTGTTCTCTCTTTGAGGGGCCTAAATATTCGTATGTGAACACCCCAAAGAATTAAGCCGGTTGGATATTCTCTGGCATAAAGGGGTCTCTAAAATGTAAATGTAAAATGTAAAATGGTATTTGTGTAATGCCTGGTAAACGAACCTGCTGTATACCACTGCATGATTTATTGAGGCTAATGTGATGCCTACAAAAATCATGATTTTCTTCTTTGTCTTTTGGTATGGGAGAAATCAAAATTAATCTGCAGCCCCAGTATTTTGGACCTCTGTCTGTTCGTCCGTCCAATTCCTATTTCTTCCTCTCAGTGTCGCCTTGCTTGGCACCTTTGTTGAGTACTTTGTCAGGATAGTGTGACCACGTGTAGCGTCACACTTCTTTCTCGGGGTTATGACGATTCAGTGAGACTATGACACGTATAAGTGTCCCTAGACTGTGTACACCGTCTGTACATTATTTCAGCTGTTGTGAGGATGCAACACTCGGGCCAATATACAATAGTATGCAAGCACTCAAAGATCGCATTTGGCAAGTTATATGCTCTCTGTCACAGAGAGGGCCTCCATATTTGTGTATGTAAACACGCGACCATATTATTTTATGTCAGGAAAAAGTCCTCCATATTTTGTACTTTTTGGAATTTCGTTTTATAAAGTTATGGATATGGATTAAATGGCTCGACCGCCTTTTTAAATAAAACCGACTCCTGTTGATGCAATCACAAATATCGGTAAAATATCACTGTTTTTAGTCCTAAACGGCTTCCATAAAAAATGTTATATTGTGCCGCAACATTGGTAACTGAAGACGTGATTATGTACAGTTTATAGATTTCCGTTACGTAAGACCTCCCTGGGTTAGACGTTCTAAATAGACGGATCCTTCAAACCCTGCTCCATTCATAGCGCTATTTATAGCCACACAATTAGTACACGGAAAATCGTTCGACAGCTTCTTCGTATGCCATTACCGCGCATGACAGGAAATCAATAGCCTAATGGCTGTCGACCACTTCACTACGTGGCGCGTGAGCACGTTCTGCCTGGTACCACTAGATGTAGTCGGCCTCTCGTTTGAGCGTATAGAACCGTGCGGATGACGATCGTGTTGTATTTTTTTTTTAGATTCGGCTTTAACTCAGTTTATATCAATAGCAACACGTAAAAACGTAATTGTTTACGTTCTTTATCTATCTACTTACCTGTGTACTCTAAACAAATTAATTTTGGCGATATATTTATTTTAACGATTGTGTTTCGTACTTATGGCGATAGGTTTATTGCAACGGTTTTGTTTCGTACCTATGGCGATAAGTTTATTTCAACGGTTGTGTTTCGTACTTATGGCGATAGGTTCATTTCAATGGTTGTTTTTCAAACGAAATTTTCCAGAATGAAAAAAAAATGGAAAAAAAAACAATCATTGAATTCAATAAAAATGTTATTCATTAAGGAATCAGGATAATAACTTTATTCTATTTTATTATTTTATCATTAGAGACTATTATTTGAAGGTAATTTTGATATGGGTATTCTACCCGAGAGTCAAGAACATCAGATCTGACCTGCACCTCGGGTAGACTATTCTTTCTACTTCTAACGACCTTATATTTTCTAGCGCTTAGCTTGGCAATACCTCACTTCTGGCTTCAATGTAGATTGTTCGCCCAGGTGAGAAAGGCAATGGTCTCTGTCCCAAGGCCGGGACATACCAAAGTCCTTAAACATGGTAGTTGTTATTCCCTTCGTTACGTTCAGCATTGAGGGTAATAGCAACAACTGGTTCATCCGTTGTCAGTATAATGTGACCTGGCGGGATGCTGTGCTGGGTATTTATAGTTAGATTATTAGTTATACAGGTTTTGTGCGGGTAACAAAACCTGTATAACGAATTTGTCATACGGCAAACTCTAAAATAAAACAAATTAATGAAATTCAAATAACAAAATATGTATTCAAATTCACAATTCTAAGCCAACAGTATTATAAAAAAAAATCCATATATTCGCAACCTCGCCGACAGAAATACAGCCGGATATCACACTGTGCCTTGTTCGCCAATCCTTGGGATACACACGGGTTCATATGCAGAGACGAATACAGCTCCTGCCGGTCAGCCGCTATGATTTCAGGATTGTGGACGCAATGTCCTCCGTCGTGTGTGAAGCGAACCTGTCAGCCATTGCTGTGTTGTAACAGACGACAGGTATTCGGAACGCTTCGGGATCTTTCGCAATACACACTCGGCTTCAGCCAATGGGAGTTGTCCCATGCACGCGCATTTATATTAACGGACTAGCAGGTCACGCGCTTTCATATAACTGGAGAAGACTTCATATTACCGGACTAGAACCCCAATATAGTACATCACAGCTGAGCTGTTGACCAATGAAAACTGTTAGAATGACACTAACAGTATGACAAAGCACTATAAAGTCGGCATCAGATCCGCGCTATTACAAGGAGGCAAGTACGAATTAAATGTATTACATCATTATAGTTTTTGAAACACTACGTGAATAAAGTCAATACTTATAAATAGAATTGTAGAAATACAGTAAAACTAACACAGATAGCTGACGTTGATACTGATTCTCTGTTGACATATGTACAGCAAAAATCTAAAACTGGAACAACCGACTCGTTCTAAAAGAATGGAAACTTGAGAATATAACCCTGTTCCCACAACCACATCTATCTTCCCCTCCTAATTCCGGTCAATTTTTAAACTTTATTATTTCACAACAATTATGACAAAAGCTTATAAGTCATGTTGACCATTTTTCTTTCTCCGCACGATAGCGTACAAGGGGTCATACCAAATAATGCAAAATCTGATAAAACGTCTAAAAATGACGCCATGTATGACTAAAAACGACGCCAGTTTACGTTACATAAGGTGTAACCAACATCGTGCGAGTAACGTCAAGACACTCGGGAGCGAACAAGCAAGAAAGAAATAATGAAAATATCCTATCGAACAAAGAAATAATAGAAGATGTTGACATTTGTAAATCTTGGTGCTGTAATGCACAGAGAAGGAAGAGGTAGTAGTGATATCAAAAACAGGCTGAGGAAGGCAAGAGGAGCATTCCACCGACTCCGAAATAGTTGTGTGAACACAAGCTATTCCGTCTTTGCGTATTGCAGAGTTATCTTCTCTTGGGATCAGGTATTGATTGTTACGTTACTTGTTTATGAGAGTTACATCATCAATTTTTGAGAAAACGACGTCATTTTCTCGCACAAACCAATGACGTAACAATCAATACCTGCTCTCAAGAGAAGATAACTCTGCAATACGCAAAGACGGAATTGGTAGAAAGACAAAGATTATAAGACTCTTTCAAGACCATGGGTGTAGGATAGGGACATTCCACACGAGGGGTTTTCAAATTTGGTAAAACCCGAGGCTTTGCCCAATTCCAACAACAAAGCCATACTAACTACTCATACCTCAATACGTCAAGATACCTGTCTACCTTGGGATGCGTGTGGAAATAAACCGAACTTTGTCACTCTCTCGAGATAGCATTTCGAAAAATGTCTGGTGCTCCTATCTTAAAGTCATTTCAGATCTTTGAAGTGTTTGTTGTAAACGCCACCCAACAGTAGCTTGCCTACTACATAATAGTGATGATAATCAGCGTTAGAAAAACACTTTTTTATGGCTCTTAAAAATAACGCAGGCGCTCTTCGGCTGTTTTTATTAGTTGCATGTATATGAAACAGCTGTTTTCACGGCCTAACTTGTTACACGGTAATCTAATACATTACTGCGGAACATCCGAGATTATTGGGTTAATAACAGCAAATTATTAGGTATATACGGAGGCGCGGCGGAAGTGAAGACAACGTTAACCCCACCAAAGCCCCGGATGTAAACCACGTGGTTTATTTACGAAAAGAGATCTTTATGAAATGTCT